CAGTCTCCTGAATGTGTTAGAACCTAAAAGCCAACAGCTACTCATTTGCAGAGGCATCACTGCACGGCTCAAAGCCCCCGTCACCATGCAATTTACGTTCAGTGTTCTGGATGTGACTCGAGAGGGGTTTCCCAGTGTACCAATACTGAGCATTTCATATCACATTTCAGATATGCTACAGGTTGTTGCATCAGCTTATTTTGTCACAGCATAACTGACTAACCAAAAACCCCCAGCAACGCTCCAGTTCAAATTTTGTCTCTTTTTGAAGGCTCAAGTCCTTTTCTTTGTTATTTTTCCCTTTGTTTTCTTAAAATGGAAAAAATAGGATCATACAAGCTAATATTCCCTTAAGTGATGAGGAGAGAGTCAGCAATAATCCTGCCAAAACACCTACTACCCTCTCAAATGGGGAAGATCCTATGTTGCTCAGTAGCTGAATTCCCCTGTGGGTCTTTTCTCTGCCTGCATGCTTTCCCCCTCTTGAATTACAGTCTTACTTAGATTACTAACGCCTCAGCACCACCAAAAATATTCCCATTCATTTCCCCAGCTTTTACAAACATGATAACATGATTTGTGTTTAAATATAAGCGTCACCGTTTTACTTTTTATTATGAATATCATATGTTTGGCAAGCTGTCTGACCTTCCTTATGATGATGAATGCTGCAGCAAACAATTTGCTGTATCTTTAAAGAAATGGCCAATTCAATTACATTATGCCAGAAGCTTTCAAATCCCTCTCTGCCAAATGTCTTTGCTATATCCTGCCACAGACAGCCCATTTGTATTCCAGCACAGTAGGACACTTGTTTTGTTGAAGCACACAGTTCTAGTTAGGTACTATCAACAGAGCAGTATTTCAGTTCTGTGGCTCTGTGTTCCTTCCCACCCCCTCAACCCTCGGTTATCAGGATTTTCAATTTTACTGACCAAACGTGTATGCATTACTAATTATGTGCATGAAATGCAGTAGTTATCGACTGCTACAACAAAATACATTAGTGACCAATTACAGGAGTTCTTGGCAGCAATGGTTATCATTTTAGTGAATTTAATCATTGCACTTAGAGGGAAGCTTGAGATTCCCTTTGAGATTACACCACTAATTGCTTCTGTTTTGCCAGTTACTGCATGAGTTGGTTTGCAAAAAGGATCACTAAAGATGCTTTCTAAATATGGGAAGCAGCAAACAGATGAAGCCTCCTGTAATGAGTGTGTCCCCCCCCCCCATAAAACCACAGTGTCAATTTATTCATACCGCAGTGCCCGTCTCCGATACATATCCCCCTTGTCACCCCCTCTTTCCCTCTCACTTCGTGTTATTTGGGCAGACAACAGCAATACAGCTGCATTGCTGTTCATGTGAATTGTGTGACACACTATCAGTTATTTATATAGATAGTGACAATATTACACTGCAAAAAAAAAAAAAAAAAATGTTTTCCCCTCTCTTCGGTGTTTGCAGAGAGGATACTACTTTTTATTCTTATTATGACAGAATGTTTGATTGGTCCTAGACCTTAAAAAAAAAAAAGGAAAAAAACCCAACCTAGGCAAAGTACATGATTTATCACGTGCACAATACCACCAAAATCGGCTTCCACTCTCCAGGAATCCCTAAAAACAAACGCTCCCCCTCCAAAGGAATTTGTAATATAACATATTGTTCTTTAAAAGCCCACATCTACCTCCAGATCATCAGTAGTGATGAATTATCTGGTTTACAGCCCCATAAAACAGAAGTGTCTATATTTTAATGCTGAGGCCAACCACAGGACTTTGGTACCTTTCAAGCGTAGTGATATACAACTTTCCAAACACCAATGAAAGGCTGTGACACTTGACTTCAGGCAAAACAGAGAGATATAATTTCATCAACATTTAAAGTCTGATCAAAATAAATAGTCTTTCAAAGGCAAAAAGCATGGGGGAGGGTTGCAACAACAGTTCTGTTAGCTGTCTGAGAATAAGCTATTTTAATAAATAAAATTGTTTAAATAAATTTGTTTGGCTCCTTTTCATCAAGAATTTCAGCTACTGAAGCTTTCCATGACTCAAACACCACTTTGTGAACAACAAAGAAACCCTCTCAAAAATATAAAAAAATCCCCCCAATAATACTCAACAAAATTTTTTTCATGAGACTAAAAAACCTCCTATATTTATTTTAACATCAACTCTTCTAAGATTTCAGGAGATGCTAGGCTGATACAGCTTTAATTAGAAACTTAATTGATCTCTGTGAGAGAGATACTGTAGAGAGTTTTAAATCCACAGAGATTTCTAGACTATGAACAGCAGAGCATATGACATCTTTAAAAACTGTCAGAAACCATACACTGCCATTTACAAAAATAATAACAATCTCAGTGAAATTAACTGCTAAAAGAAGCTGAAGAGCTCCATCCTACAGTATCAACAGGCTCCAGCAACAGTACCAGCTGGCTTCACTTCAGCCTCTAAATTCAGGATGGACTAATGCCTACCAATCCCTGGAAAAGAGCATAATGCAGCACACAGGGGGTTGCAGCACAGATATGTTTATCTTGCTTCAAACCCAGATGCAGATTTGCACAAACCTGTCGATCTTTCCAGAACACCAGGCACAAGAACTGCTACACACACAGGATGCTCTCAAAACCAAGGCCAGTTCATTTTCATGCTTAACTGAGAAAATCTTGCCCCAAGGCACTCAATTTCAAGTCTGAATGAGAAAATTTGTAGGTGATGCAGTAACTACAGTAACTGGCAAAAAAATAAACTGGATAAAACACCTAAATTAGAGATCAATCCTACATTCATAAAGGAACAGACTACACAATTCAATTGGATTATCCCCATCTCTTAGTTCAATAATTCTTGACTTCTGCTTTATTAAGCAACAATTAAAGACAATTTTCAAGTAAAAAGCAATATAACACTGACATGATATCTTTGTCAAGGCAGAAGTCATTACAGACCCTCAAACCCAGCCAATGACTGCCTTTCTTTTGTATGGCCAAGTTCCTGTCCCACGTACACAAGTACAAAATCTCAACTATAATTTCAAAAAGATTACAACTGCACCTGGAATTTCTAGTGCTGCCTTTCAAACAAGGAAAGAGGAACAAAAGGGAAGAAAAATATTCTGAAAGAGAAAATATTCCCAAAATGAACAGCTGAGCTTATGTAGTGCTCAAAATACAAAGGGTTGGAAAATACCTGCCTTTCATCACTGTCAAAAGCAATAGACTAAAATATGCAGAGTAGGATTGATAACACAGGAAATAAATGAAAACATTTGCTGCATGTTAGTATGGAAGTTAAAAGAATCAGGGCAAAACCCTCTCTCAAAGGTCCTGCTGAATTTAAAACAGAGCTGTTGAGCCAATTGTGATTTCAAAACATGCCATTATCATTTAAGAACACTGAACTTCTTTTCCTTAATAAACCTTACACCCAGCAGTTCACCAGTCCACAGACTTAATTCCTAAAACCATATAAAAATGAGTGCAAGACAAGGAACCAGAATTTCAGTGAGAACTACCAATGCACAGGGAAGCAATCACTTACTTCTAACACAGTCTCACGTATTATTTGTGATTCAGTACCTAATTTACAAATCAAGGAATGATAATGCTAAATGCTGCCATGATGCACTTCTAAATGAATTTGAAGTCTTATGCATGTACAGCTCACAAAGCCTGCCATATTTTTAAGTTGCATATTTAATTCTCTTCAATATCAAAAGCAATGAGAGACTTTTTTTGTCTACTACTCTATTGCAAAGAGATAAACACAGTAAATACTCTAGCAAAATGAAATATATTTTTTATGCAGACAGATATCAATTTCTAAGTTCATGCATTCCGTACAAGAATATAATTATCATAATTATTATATTATTAAACCACAGCAGAAATTTGGAATAAACAGCATTGGTAACAAGTTTAGACCAGATTAAATTGAGAGACTCACAGCTATAAGTATTGTTTGTAAAATTTAATGCAGATACTAGTAAGGATATTCAACTTACTGAAGCCTTCCAAACCCAAAGATAATTCTTTTAGTGTGATAAATGCCAGCAGGAAGAAAGACTCCAGCTCTAGCGATTGTTTCAGAAAACTCAATTAACTTGTCCACTTTTAAAAATATATTACCAGTAGAAAGAAGTTTCATGCCATACAATATTTATCTACTCATTAATATCACATATATGCCATATATGAATATGTATGACTAAATAAATACATTAAATAATAAGTAATACATCAAAGTGCCTTTTCGACATGTAAAATTATTTTTGTAAATAGAATAATCGTTGGATTGCCAGGAAAGAAATCTAGGTGGATAACTGGAAAATATTTTTTCTGTCATTTCAGAAAATTGTATAGGCTGGATTTGGAACTGGGGTCCTTCATATCCCTAGGAATGTCTACCACATGCCACGTCCAATCTGATGAAGAAAAGCTGTCCCTGTCCTGTTTTAGTGGAAGCAAACTCAACCAAGATAAGAGTTTCTGTCTCAAAAAAAAACAAACCATGGAATGAGCATTCACAACTGTATTAGGCTACCACAAGGTCACCCTCAGCCTTCACCCTCCGATGACCTCATACTTAACTTGGCCCATTCCAGGACTTCAGTTCTGCTGAGTCTCAGTGCCTTACTATTGATTACAAACCAGCAAGATCAAGTTTAACCTTAAGAAACTCAGAAACTAGTGTGAAGATAAAAAAATAAAAAGGTAAACCACCAAAATACCAAGAAATCCTGCTTACAATCTGTGTTTCACTTTATGGAGGCTTTAAGGGTAAAAATAAAAAGAAAACCTACTGCAAAGCACTCGAGGCTCTATACAACATTCCCTCCCTATAGCTAGTCCTAGTTCTTCCAGTCTTTGTCAATTCAAAAGCCAAAGTACTGTCTGAAATTACAGGTTAGGCATGGAGATGCTGAAAAACATTTAATGGTTCTAGCATTTTGTAAAGCTGATTTTCAGCTAAGCATTCACTTACTCAGGTGCAAGAACAGTCAGGTTCCCCAGTTTCCCCCAGATTTCCCCTTCAGGCCAGTTTTATCCTTAGGTACCTGTGTAGAGTAAAAAACAAAGAAAAAAATTAATTTGCATAACTTCTCCTAAGTTCATCTCTTGATTATATCAACTTCTATGGCCCTGATTAAAAAAATCAGATATCCAGCTTTTCTAATAGGATTATTTCCCATCAATTTGCTTAACCATAAGCAAACTCCAAGCTTTTTTCTCCCCTGTAAAAAGACTAGGTTTGATTTGACCAGTTCTATATAGATTTTTTTTAGACTTAACCTTAAATGAAATGTAAATTCAACCCAGTAGAAGGTGGGATTGCATGATTTAAGTATATTTCATCACTTGTTTTTAGGAGTACAAACAGCACACAGTTAAGCGTTTTTAACCACAGATTTAAGCTACCTTAAAACTCTTAACATGTGACAGGAAAATCCTACATATTCAATTAACACTTTAAAACTTGAAAGAAAGTTCATGTACAGGTATACTGTCACTTAGTTAAGGAGGAGCTTGAAAAATAAAGTTATTCTACTTTCTCCTGTCAGTAGCATGAATTAAAGAAACATTTTCAAAATGTGCTATTTGACCATATGGAATCGATTTTTGTAGACATATGGAGCTCCAATTAAACAAGTGTGGCTTTGCTGACACAAAAGTCCACCTGCACGTATTCAAATTTTCCAGAATTAGACCATCTAATTTAGAGCACCCCATCTAACGATAACAGAGTAGAAAATCAATGCATTTGATATGACACAACCACTGAAACTAGTCCCTTTAAATAGTAATTGCAGCCTTACTTTTGACCATGGTCAGAATATAATCAGATAAGATGGAATTAGTTCCCCTAAAATACAGCTCCAATTACACCAGATCAAAAGAAAATTATTTTTCATCTTCTCCATCATGCAAGTAAACATATAATTGGAAAAATTAAGCAAGCTACAATCTTTCAAAGAAGTTATCACCAGAAGTCAATGGAAATTAAAAAACTGACTGTAACCATGCTTTCTTTTTACGTTTTCTTTGCACATTGTGCATCCAGATTTTCCCAGGAAAAATGTATGGAAAGCACGCCATTTAAAGAAACAGAAGTCATCAAGCTATATACAAACATCAACACCCTCAACAAGCCTAAAATCTTAATATAAGACAGGTGTCCAATGAGCTGGAAACTAACACATTTTTAAGGTAAGCACTTGAGAAGTTCTTCTTTGGTTTTAATTTTTTTAAAGATTTGGAGTTAACTGGGCCCCCTGGTTCAAATCTAGTCTGACTGGTTTTCTACTAGGTGATGACGTAAAATTTTTTTTTTACAGGACCCCAACCTGATTCAGTGAATACAGCAGCTAGAAGAGAGTACCGGAAATCTACACACTGACTGCATTACACGTGGTCACAGCACGGTTATCTACCCCAGGTCATTCTGTGCTGTTCCAGAACAGCACTCTGAGCACAGAAACTCCAGTTTCCAGACAGAGCTCCTCTTTGGTGCTGTCAGGACAACACCAGATTGCATTACAGCCCCCTGCAAGGTAGGTTATATGATCCCCACAGACAAGAATGAAACTTTTGAATCAGAAGCATTACAAACTTCAGTGTTCAACCAGATTCCTAAAGATCATTTATCAGAATACTTAGCCTTACATAATACCTTAAACTAATTTCCTGTGGAAGTTGTACTCATCTGGTTGCCTAGTTAAGGTGACGCATATCTTTCCTGGCTTGTTGTGCACTGCCCCTGTCTTCTACAACAAATAAAAGCAAGTTTTCAAAGACCTATCCACTTTGCTGCAGTCTTCACCTCCGTTCCACTTAAGAAGATCACACAAATCTGAGATCATGTAATTGAGAACTATATCACAATGCATATGTCCAAGGGAACTCAGTTAACATATTTCAGACAATTTTAATTCTTCACCATCCCAGCTTTGCAGCACTTGTTCTTTGTAATTCTTAACAATTTTACTCAACTTTCTGAGCTTGGTTTAACTTCCAGCTCTTTTAAAACCATTCAAAAGGAGAAGCTCTGCCTTGTTCAGGCAGACACTTAAGTCTCCCTCAAAATGCTCTCATCCAAGCTCTATCACCACCAATGCTGTGGACATGTGCCACCACCCCTATCACACACTTTGTCAGCAGGCACAGTTTCCTATTTGTGATCCCAGTCCTGCCTCTCTTCAGCAACCTCTTCATTCTCATCAACTTCATTAGACAATATATTGCTCCTTCCCTGCAACCACAATCCCATTTCCCATTAGCTTCCAGCTCTCCTATACCAGCTTTCCTTTTAATCTCAACATCTTCTCTCAGCTTTCTGTACCCTTCACAGATCTGTTAGCTCTTCCGCACTGCTTTTCACCTCCCAGTGTTTTTCTCACTGCTTTACTCTCCCACTCACTTCCTGTGCTTGCCTCTTGCCCTGGCAATTTTCAGATTTCTTCTCAACAACCAACTCCATATCTTTTCCTGGTTCCTACACAGTCTGTGATTAGCATGCCATAGCCATTTGTGCTGAACTCACTTCCAGTGATGGGTGTTGAAGAGATCTGTACAAGGGCTAATGAGCAGGAACACTTTATGTCAGGATCCCAGAAGAACTGGGGCAGAAGAGATGCTAAACCAACAGTGCTGTCTGAGCAGACATAGAATTTCAGGCACTTAAATCCCTCACTACAGACACCTACATATTTAGATGTCAATGCAGCTGTAATGAAGGCTTTTTGAACTATTGGTACTTCAGCCTTGATGGTAGATGAACATCATCCAGTCTTTTAAATTAAAAAAAAGGCAAAATCATTCCATCATTCTACAAAGGACCCAAATAAAGTTACTTAGAGTCTAAATCTCAATATAAACTCAATCTACATTTCAGTTAACGGGGTGTTACTTATACTTCTTCAAACTATTCTTTCTGAAGACAAAACAGTCCTTGATTCAGTCAAATATACTAGGTACTGTGGGGAAGGGAGGAATGGGTTTTAATTTAGAAGAGAGTTCTCTTGGCTCTGTTTACCAAGGATAAGTGTTCTTATTTTTACTGTACAGGAAGAAATAGCTTATAGCATACCTTCACCTATTTCTCCCAGAAAGAACGAACTAACCAAAGACATCTTCCTATCCTGTCTCAAACACCTCTGTCATTTGTGTGTGGGGGGTTAAGAGCGTTAAGGCTGAATTTAAGATGATTTTATACAATCATAGAATACTAGGTTGAAAGGGTCCTCCAGGATCATCTGGTTCAACCTTTCTTGGCAAAAGTACCATCTAGGCAAGATGGCCCAGCATCCTCTTCAGCCAAATCTTTAAAGTGTCCAATGCTGGGTAATCCACCACTTCCCTGGGGAGGTTATTCCAACTGCTGATTGTTCTCATCATGAAAGATTTTCCTCTTGTGTCCAATTGGAATCTCCCCAGGAGTAACTTGCACCCCTCATCTTTTCCATGGGACTCCCTGGAAAAAGGGAGTCTCCATCATCTTTTTAGACACCCTTTAAGTACTGGAACAGGGAGATAAGATGTCCCCAAAGCCTTCTTTTCTCAAGGCTGAGCAAACTCAGTTCTCTCAGCCTTTCCTCACATGACAGGCTTCCCAGTGATCATCTTTGTGACCCCTCTCTGGACCCTCTCCAGCTTGTCCACACCTTTTTTGTATAGCAGGGACCAAAGATGAACACAGCATTCTAAGTGTGGCTTGGCAAGCACTGAGTAGGGTGGAATAATGACTTCTTTGCTGGTGATTCTCTTGTTGATGCAGCCCAGCATTCTGTAGGTTTTCCCTGCCACAGCAGCACACTGTTCACTCATACTGAGCTTGTTGTCCACCAGAATACCCATGTCCCTTTCCACAGAGCTGCTCCCCAGGTGGATAGATACCAGCCCGTGCTGCACTCCTGGATTAGGGACAGATCTCTCCTATGCTGCTACTGTATTGCTGCTACTGTGTCCATTTAATGGTATACATTACTTAATGAGTACAGATGAATGATTCAGTGATAGAAACTGTCTGCTAGAGAGGAATGTCTATTACATCTTGATTCTTGCAACACTGAAACTAAAAAGAAAAAATAACTCTCTGATTTAACTGAAAAAAGGCCAATAAAATACTTTTTATATTAAAATAACAAATTATCAAAAATATTTAGGTACACTACAATGACACAACCTTTCACCAAGCTTTTTGTGTGTCTGACATATAAAAATTAAGTATAAATGCAGTATTATTAATGAGCACAGTATTTACAAATAAATCACTTATTCCTCACTTGAGCCACACTGAGTTAAGTACATTTTAATGCTGAAAGTGGGATCTAATTATCTTTATTTGATCCCAAATGTAACAGGGAAATAAAAATGTTCAAAATACTTGGATCTTGATGATAAGCACTCAACATTGAAAGGTATGTGCCAGGATAATGTAAGATGGTATTTATTCTTATTTCTTCTAAAGGGGTCTCAAACAGTCACAAGAATATATTTAGTTCTGTACAATTGCTTGATCTTCCACTTTGTACACTGCCTGCTGGTGTCTGAGGCAAAAGCAGATTCAGTTATCCTGGCTCCCCTCACCAGCATGGCCTGATCCTGCAAATCCACTACTATCACATCCCATGTAGGAAGGAGGATTGTCAGTATGAATTACACCCTTGGAACTAGGCCCTAGGATGTAGCTAATGCAATGACTGCAACTCATACACAAGCCAATCATCACAGGTGATCACAGGCATTTCTCAAAAGCTGGCACTCTGAGTCTCCCATTAATCAGTATATTCACATATGTTTGCTACTTAGGATAACACAAAATTAGTAACGTAACTATTAGTAGTGGATTGATTCTGAATAAAATAAAAAAAAAAATCTCAAAAACAAAAACCCACAAAAACCCACACACATACAACCCCTCCCCCCAAAAAATACAACAACAACAACAACAAAATCCCACTGGTAAACTGACCAAAAAGCCATAAAAAGAATGTCAGTATTTGCCTCCACTCACTTCAGAAAAACTTTCTGCTTTGTTTATTTTCTCTTCCTGCCCACA